TGAAAATACCACTTATTCCTTTACACGTACAAGCACTAGCACAAATGGTATACAAATTTGTGTGATTGCCTACTGTGGAAAAACTAAGCCAAATGTAAGTGATCATCATTCCAACTTGCACACCTCTCATGTCTTCTTTCAAACTATAATAAGACGAACATATTTTGTATAACAATTTTTAAAATGGTTTATCATAGATCATGATAGTGCCTTTCAAGTTCCATGTTCACATACATTATGGTGATATATGACTTGACTATAGAGTTTAGGATATTAATTTATCACATACTTTATTTAATGATTGTACAAAAATATTCAAATAAACCCAAAAAATTATTGGGATAATAAATAAATAGTTTAGTTAATTCTTAAAAAAATTATTAAATCGTAAATAATAAGTCAGTTTTGAACATTTTTGACATATGGAGCAATACTAGTGAAAGAAAACGCGAGAAAATGATAAAAGAATTTTCTTGTTAATTGTTAAGTTGTGCAAAATAAAAATTCATAATAAATCATTTTGGAATCCAAAAATTAAAAAAAGTGATAACTTCATTTGTACGTCAATAATCAAAATTTACTGTAATTTCAAAATCTACAATAAGTAAAAACCAACATCCAGAACTCTCGCTTAAAGTTAGATGTGACAACCTTTGCACTATCGAATCTCGCTATTTCTATTTAGACGGAGAGGAGTATTTATAGTAGCATATTCTGTGAAATATAATTTCAAACCTTTTTAATTATATTCTCTTTTCTCAAGTCGTTTACTTTGCTCCTAAACTTTAGAATAAGGAAAGACAAAAAGGATGGGATAGACTATAGAGAGAAGCCAAAAGATAACAAATTCCAGCATTTGACAACAGAAACATCTTCTCTTTGGCCGAAAGAGGATCTAAAAAGCCACATCCATTTACATAAAATGTGGGATATTCCCCCCCTTTACAGCAACCAACCAACAACAAAAAGTGTTCTCTACCCATATCTTCAACTTATATAGTTAAAAGTTTAACTGGCTTCAACCAAAAAACAGAACCTACCAAAAAGGAAATATCAACTTTTTCACCTGCTTTTTCTTTGAGCTTCTAAAATTAGATTTCACTATTCCTCGTGCGAAAGGACATGACATATTTGAAACTACTACTACTATTATAAAGTTAGACTTCTCTAGGATCAACAAAAATAGAAAGACCAGGTTGTGACTTTGTCCAGTCACCTAATGACCCGTCACTATAGTCTTCCCCTAGTCGTTTCATGCACCATAAATCCTCTGCGCAAGATAGCTTTTTCCAGTGTGGAATTGCTAACCTTAACGGTTCACGATTTGCCACCTCCGTCGCCACCACGCTACACCGCGACTCTTTAGCTAGATTATGTGCAAAATCACACAGGGATTTTGTTAACTTTTCAGCTAATGGGCCTTTTCCACCAAGCCCATACAAAAAGTGAAGCCCAAATGGCCTGAAAACCTCCGGCACCGACGGTACTTTGAGCCAAGGAAAAGCCCGGTCCACTATACGAGTCGTCTTAGCAAGAATCTTTGTCATTCGCGACGCGCCACGAACCTCAAGATTGAACACGTCCTTACAGTTCCACACGCTGAGCACAGCCCATGACTCGGGCTGACTCGCCAAAAACTCGTCCACTCCGGGCCAAGTTTGGGCCGAGTAAAGCCCCTTTGGAACCGCTAGAAAAGTACCCAGATTGAGTTTGTTGTATAGAATAGAATCAATATCGCGTGGGAAGAACTCGGTAGTGGAGAACCGGCGGCGGTATAGTGTTTCAGCGTCAGTTGGGCTGAGCTTGATAATAGTGACCCGACTTGATACCCGGGCCCGATGAGCGAAAACGGGCTGGACCAAAATGGACGGGGTACGGAACTTGGAGTAACCGCATTTGTTGGTGAAGAGCTTAATGGAAGCTTGGTTGTCGTTTTCAGTAGCTATGTACGAATATTCAGCACCATTAACTCTGAACCACTCCTCCATTTCGCACACCAATTTTAACCCAATTCCCATTCTCCTGCAAAAAATATCAAACATATCATTATATTGTCGCTATATTGAACAAGATTCCAACAAAAAATGGCCTATCTAAGGAGTAGAATATTGTTAAAGTTGTTTGAGTTGAGTATAATAATATGAAGACAAAAGTGATACCTTTAGAATGTGTCCACACAATGAACCATTTTTAGCAAAAACTAAACTATCATTGGTCGGGTGTGTACTTAAATGAAGATCTAACATAGAAAACTAAATAAGCTTTACTATTACAATCTCTATTTATTTGGATTGTCGGCATCAATAGATAAAGAGAAAAGGAATATGAGTAGTAGTAGTAGTTACCGGTGAGAAGGAGAAACGCGGAGGCCTAAAATATAGGCGAGTTTGGTGAAAATAGGAAGGGGTTGAGGATGAGGTTTAGTAGAAACAGAGCTGTTTTTAGCATTCCTTGACAGCTTTTTACCGCACGTAACGGTTGCTTCTTCTCTTCTTTTGCTAAATTAGATGTGGCCTCCCTTTTTATACTGATTTTTGGAGCTGTCTTTTCTTTTCTCTAGTCCCCACCCCTTTTCTCTCCTCCCTTTTTTCTAAAAAGAAATATGAGTAGGAAATGCTCTGCAGTTTAACAAACCCCTTTTTTAATTTATGTTTTTTGTCTTTTGCTTACTTAATGGAAGAGGCTTTTATCAAAGAATAAAATATGTTTAAATTATATGGATTAGAAAAATTAAGTTTTATAATTATAAATATATGCTGTTGCTCCGATTTCTATGTGTGGGACTACTAATGAAAGAGTTAATATTCGTACTAGTAACTGTTTTCGAATTTATAATTAATCATGATGATCATAAGAAAAGGTGGGGAGAAGAAGAAATGGCGGCTGTGGCTGCGCAGTCCCATTCCCAATTGTAGGTTGTTCTTTCTCTTTCAACTTTAAATTAAATACCCATCATCACTTAAATTTGTAATCATTACTACTCTTAAATACACATACAATACTTCCTTTCCATATTCACCCATTATCACTTCTCAGCATACTATAACGCCTTACCGCATCAAAGCCATCTCATGCCTTTTGACATGCACCTATCCTATCTATATGCACATATTCAAATTTCAATATCTTTTTCTTGTATATATTATATTAGACAAGAGTTAAGATCAGATTAGTTTCATTAACTTCATTTTCCAATCATTCATCATACAAATCAATAAATTTAGGGATGAAATTAGATGTAGATGTATGAAAATTTGTTGTAATTGCCCTTTCTTTGACGAAGATATGCACTTACTGATAGGAAACTCAAAGAAGAACTAGAAAAGGCAAAATTCGAACATTTTAGTTTAAACGACATGAATACAAATAATAAATATCTCCTATATAAGTTTTCACGATCCGGCAGTTATCATATATAATAAGGAGCCTTAATAGCTCTGCTTCGTATTCATGAACCATTCATCTTAGTCCTTCATGCATTATTAATTAATTTTTCTTTTTACTTAGGATTTGTGCTGTTAATTAACGTTTTATTTCTACAACAAATACAAAATTACGCTATAACTGGTGGTAAGTGGCACAGAAACCAATCAAAAGTGTTGATGCATGAATGCCACTTCGTCGGATGCGTGATAATGCATGATAGGAGCATGAATAAATGACCAATACATACATTTATAACGGAACTTGAATAAAAAAGACGTGGGGTGGGAGGTAGAATCGCAACCGATTAATTGAAGAAGACAAGGAGATCGATATAGAAATTAAAAGCCGCATTCTTGTTCAGAGCTAGCCGCTAGGGCAGCTATAAAACACTAGTCTGTAAACTATTAGCCCCAACTGAAATCATTCCATAATATTTATAGCAATCCTGACACACAATTGTAGTGGAGTAATTGTTTTAACCGATATAAACATCATGCAAAAATTTATCTCTAGATATACCCTGATATGACAACCAATTCAATCCTAACAAAGCCATAACTGAAACTAATTTTCGAATTTGAAATAGAAAATTTTTAGTTCTTCTTTGTTTTCTTTCAATTTTCCTTTTTGTACTCTTTACAAATACGTGCTGTATTTCACATGAAATATTATAAAAAAACACAATTTCTAAAAAATTTTTAAAAAATAATTGAAAGGACAGTATCCGAAGGAAAATTAACTCCTAACAGTAATAGGGACATATAAATTGAGTTAAATGAGGTATTTGAAAACTCTGTTTTTCATTTTGGCTTTATCTTATCCCTATTTTATCAACGGTGCCACTAGTAGCTACGACTTGTTTTTGTCAAAATGTGCAGTTCGTTCTCAATTATGAAATGCGCAAAAGCATTTAGGTGGCATTTAGTAGTGGATAATTTTTGAAATCTTGCAAAAGATTTTCCAAAACATGTTTATATTTTTCAAAGAAGTTTATTTTTAAAAATTCTGAAGAAATGATTTTACAGCTTTTTTTCAAAGAAAAATTACTCCTCTGACGAAGCACTCGTAAACCTTAAATAAAAGGATAGCGATCTAACCCGTTTTCTTTTATGGTAGCTACTAGTCTTTTAAAAATATTTTTCTCAAAGCAGTCCAAACAACTTAAAGTTATTTTAAATTCAAAGCGTAAGATAAACAATTCTGTATAAGGTCGAAATAGTTTCGACCTTCGTACGATTGATCGAGGTCGAAACATAATGGATCGAAGAAAGATTTTGTAATATCAAGATGGATTCCGAAGATGGTATGAACGAGCTTCAGATTTCAGGTATAGGTCAAACACCAAGTTCGAAGTCGTTATCGAGCTCGGGTCCGAATCGAACTATGATGAGATGATTTCGAGCTTAAGAGGCTAAGGTCAACCGATACCGAACCCGAATCATCACCTGATTCCGAGTCCACAGCGATCTCTACAAGTAATACCGACTGGCAGCAAGGCCTATCAAGCTCGAGCTCACAGACAAGAGCCGTTGCAAACACACTAAGGAAGAGAATCTCGGCGAAAATTAAGGAAAAACTAATTTATCATGGGTTCTCCACTATATATTTTTAATTATATCTAAAGTAGGATCCTCCACTATAAAGAGGATGACTACATTTCTGTAGACATGGCAGTTTTTTGCTTGCATTGTAATCCAAGCACCATGTTCTCCTATATTCAAGGATTATTCTTTTTAAGCTTCATTAATTAATTTATTGTGCTTAGTCCTAAAAATCATCTTCTACCAACCTTGTTTATTTTGCATTCTTTGCAATCCATATTTAGTATTTCTATCTATCCCTACGATTTGTATCAAGTTATACAACATATCCTTAGAATTACGTACAAATTCAACTCTATCCGTTTTTTGGGTAAACAGTTTGGCGCCCACAGTGGGGCTAAGGATAATAGTGATTATTTGATACGAATCTGCAAAAATACACCGTTTTGCGCTTGTTTCCGAAAGTATCTTGGATTTCAGATTAGCAACGACTAACTACCAATCAAATGGCCTTATCTATCGACAATGAAGCTGGTCTTCAAGATGAGAACAACAACTTAACACCCAGTACCGAAAGACCACTTGTCAACGCCGTTGGAGCTCGAATCGAAATGCCGATATATATCAATTCACATGTGGCCATTGAGACGAACCTACATTCTAAACCTGAAAATAGCATTCATGGTGGCACTCGGTCTGCAGCTCGAGATATCCATAACGTCGAGGAAAACGGCGTCAGCTTGCGTATGATTTTCTAAATATTGCAAGCTCAACATGCAGCAATCGCTCGGTTGCAGAGCCAAACCCAGCTACCGAGTAGGCCGGAGCCTAGTCAACCTTGAGAAATTGCCCACAGAACGGAGTCAGCCATAGTGAAAGCAAATGAGCAAGAATCGAGGACTACTCCCGAAATTGCTAAAATACTCGAGGAGCTCACAAAGCGAGTTGAAGCCAGCGATAAAAAAGTAGAGACATACAACTCTAGGGTTGATCAAATCCTGGGGGCACCCTCGATATTGAAAGGCCTAGATTCCAAAAAATTCATACAGAAACCTTTCCCCCGAGCGTCGGCCCCTAAACCAATCCCAAAGAAGTTTCGCATGCCTGAAATTCCTAAGTATAATGGGACGACCGACCCCAACGAACATGTCACCTATTACACATGTGCTATTAAAGGAAGCGATCTAGAAGATGATGAGATCGAATCTGTATTATTGAAAAAATTTGGTGAAACCCTGTCAAAGGGGTCAATGATATGGTATCATAATTTACCATCTAACTCTATTGATTCTTTTGCTATGCTTGCAGATTGCTTCGTAAAAGCACATGTCGGGGCCATAAAGGTCGAGACCAGAAAGTCGGACATGTTCAAGGTAATACAAAAGGATAACGAGATGCAGGGAGTTCGTATCTCGTTTTCAAATGAAACGAATGGATCTGCCACCGGTCACAGACTATTGGGCTATTCAAGCTTTCACTCAAGGTCTAAACGAACGAAGTTTGATGGCTTCACGGCGGCTGAAGCCATAATCTGATCGAGTACCTAACTATTACTTGGACCAATGTGCAAAATCGATATCAATCCAAAATAAGAGTCGAAGACGACCAGTTGATTTCTAGATCCGTTACTACACTACTAGAAATCCGATAAAAATCGACCAAAAAAAACCGACCAACTTTGGTCGGTAATGGCCAATAACTGTCCAAAACGCGACCATTTAAGTGTGGACGGTATTTTAGGGGTCGGAAAGGGATACCGACCAAAGTTGGTCGGTAATTACCGGCCGAATTAACCGACCAATTTTGGCCAGTTTTTTTAATATTAATTTTCATTTATTTTAATTGTAAAACCGACCAAAGTTGGTCGGTTCCTTGAAAAATAAATTTTGCGGGACTCAAAAATAGTTTTCCGCATTTTTGCGCCAAAGAAAACCGACCAGAGTTGGTCGGTTTCGTAAAAAAAAAAAAAAAAAAAAAAAAAAAAAATCGTCCAACTTTGGTCGGTTTTTTGACGGACCAAAGTTGGTCGGTCGACCTTGGTTGGTTTTTGCCGAATTTCTAGTAGTGCTAAAAGAACTACCAACCAAAGGTCGACTAGAGACCGATACCGGCCATATAGCGGAAATCCTACAAGCTCGGTCTAATAAAATGGCAATCAACTACCAAGTAATTGGAACGTGTAACGCTTAAAACGATACTTACGCTAAGGTACAACCCCCCTCCCCTTGTTCAATCATATTTCGAAACTAACCCTTGTAAGTGTTCGACCAAAGATGGACGGATTATTCAACTCGAAGCGTTTAGCATGATTTTTGTCCCAAATGGATTTTTTGGCAAGGTTTTTTAATGAGGCAACCATTGATCGTACTAAC